ATCCCAATCCAATCCTCTAAGCGCCACGGAGACAACAAATGCAGCAGCCGGCCCTCGATTCTGACGCCCGGCGTGTCCGGGTCGGCAGCGCAGCCTGGAAACCCCGCCGGCGGCTCCGCGGCCCTCGGCAACCGGCCTCAGTCAGACGCGGCCAGGAAGGAGAAACCACGTCTTGGGGGGCCGTCGCGCAGACGAGGGAAGCGGGGGACGAAGGATGGCTCGGATACGCAGCGGATGACTGCCTGGTACTGGGAGACTCACCATGATGAAGGCTAGTCTTCAAGCAGCCAAGGAGGAAAAGAGAGCCACTCTGCGCCGGCCAATCATATCAACGCGTACGGAAGGACCCCGAGCGGCGCCGGCGTGGGGGCGTGGCCAGGCAGCGAGGCCGACCGCGCCAATGCCGGATTGAAAGTGCCGATGGCCCCGCCCATTCCGTCTTTGACCGGAGGAATAGGTTTACAAAAGCTCGTGTTCAATTTCAGTTCAGTTCATTACTATCTGAATTATCGCTACTTAATATTTCTGTAAATCAAATAATAGTTTAAATGAGCTCCAGCCAAGGACAAATGCCATGTGATCTCACCTATGTGTAGAGTCTAACGAATAAGTAAGTTTGAAACAGACTCATAGACCCAGAGGGCAGACTGGTGGTCGCCAGAGGGGAGGGGCTGGGGGACTGCGTAAAAGGTGAAGGGTTAAGTCCAAATTGGTGGTTACAAAATAGTCAGGGGATGTAAAGCGTAGGGAATATAGTCAATAATATTGTGGTAACTATGGACAGTGCCAGTTGAGTACTGGAACTATCAGGGGAAGCGTGTACCATTGTCCAACCACTACGCTGTACACCTGAAACTAATATAAAATAATAATGTCAACTATAATTGAAAAATAAAGTTTAAAAATGAAATAAACAAAAAAAATTACCTGCAACAGAGTTAGAAGTTAGTAAAGCTGGAAGACATCATAGGAGTCCCTATTAATCAGTCTCCTCATTTTACAACTAAAGAAAGTGCAGAAACCCTGACTCAAAACCTTTGCTGTTTCAAGTGCACAAGCTGACTGTTTTGATTTATTGCTAATTAGTATTACTCTGAGATTCTCTGTTGATTTTCTTATTAAAAATGAAATAACTTGCCCCGCCAGTCGTGGCTCAGCGGTTGAGCAAAGATAGACCCAGGATCCAGGATGTGGAGGTTGGATTCCCCACCAGGGCACAGGCCTGGGTTGCAGGCTGGATCCCCCGTTGGGGGCGTGCAGGAGGCAGCCGATCAATGACTCTCTCTCATCATTGATGTTTCTCTCTCGCTCTCTCCCTCTCCCTTCCTCTCTCTGAAATCAATAGATACATTTTTTTAAAAAAATGAATAACTATCTTTTTCTGCAAATCTTAGTTCTTAACAAAAATTGAGCTTTTAATGAATACTTGCTTGATCCAGAAATTTAGTTGTTTAAAGGGAAAGAAACATGCAAATACAAAGAATATAAGTGTACATGTTCAAAGAGAGACATTAAGAAAGAACTTCCCCAAGGTTAGTGTGGACCAGGAGACCAGGATGCAGGCTCTGAGGGTAGCTTTCCTGTATGCTTCAGAATAATAAAAACAGTTAATGTTCATTGAGCGATTGCCATGTGCCTGTTACATCCTAATTACTTTTACCTTCATTATGCCACTTAATCATCCCACCAACTATAAGAAATAGGGTACCTATTACTTAACACTTTTTTAAAAATATGTCTTTATTGATTTCAGAGAGAGGGAGAGAGAAACAATCAATGACAGTCATTGATCGGCTGCCTCCTGCATGCTCCCTGCCAGGGGGATTGAGTTTACAACCCAGGCATGTGCCCTACTGGGAATCAAACCTCAATCTCCTGGATCTAGGTCAATGCTCAACCGATGAGCCATGCAAGCTGGGCTACTTACCACCTCTATAAATGGATAACTAACCAAGACACAATAAGGTTAAATAACTTTCCTGAAATCACACAACCTGGAGGCACTGTGGTTCCAGAATCTTTGCTCTAAACCTCCAGTCACTTGTCAAATCTTGTTGGTATAGTATTTTCAATATTTCTCCAAAGATATAATAAGTGATTAACTGCTGAAATAGGTTAGGAAAATCTGTTTTGCTTTGCTTTTTGTCTGCCACATTATTGTCTTACTAGTGCGGATTCATGGAGTCTGAAATTTAGATAGCATTCCTTCATAAAATTCAAAGATTGTTGATTCACTTTACTGGGTTCTATTTAGAGTTTCTCAAAATAGTAAAGAAATTTCAGGTTCTGTAGCTCTAAGTCCTATGGTGGTGTGGTTTCCTTCCTAGTCCCGTGCACTAAAGTAAGATGTCACATTAGGATCACCTCCCACAGGTTGTCACAGACTGTAGACAAGCAATTTATTTCGATGCATGAATTCTCTTTTCTTCCTATGCTCTCTATCTTGTTTCCCTAGCTCACCATGGCTCACTTTTCACTCTAAATGGACATTTTCAGCTTCTGTTTCTGCAATCAAGAATATGAGTTTAGCCCTGGCTGGTGTGGCTCAGTTGGTTGAGCATCACCCCCTGCACTGAGAGGTTCAATTCCTGGTCCAGGCACACGCCTGGGTAGCCGGCTGTGTGCAAGAGGCAGCAGGCAGCCCATCAGTGGTTCTCTTTAATAAATGCTTCCCTTTCTCTCTCTCTCTCCCCCTCCTCTCCTTTTCTCTCTCTCTCTCAAATCAATAAAACATATATTTTTTAAAAAGAGTGAGTTTAATTATTTTATTTTTCAAAATAACTTTGTGAACTGGAGGAGCATGCATGGCCATGTTCTCTGCCTTGTTTCTTTTGTTGGTTGTCCAGATGGTGCCCTTGTTCCTTGGGAGGGTTCATTTTAGCCTCCAACTCTCTCAAACAGTTAGAGGCTTTAATGAAGAGGGTATTAATGTTGCCCCACCCGCATGGCTCAGCGCGGTTCGATTCCCCGTCAGGGCGCATGGCCCAGGTTGTGGGCTCGACCTGCAGCAGGGGCGTGCAGGAGGCTGCTGATCAATGACTCTCACCATCCATGTTTCCATCTCTCCCTTTCTCTGACATCAGTCAAAATTTATGTTTTTTAAAGAGGTGGTATTATTGTTAATAATGACTACTGTTTATTTTATGCAGTTTTTGGCTCTCTGGCTGTCTGAAAGGTCCTGAGGCAATGGGCTATCGTTTATCTGCAGGTGTCAGATGACCTGGAGAAACGAAGCTGAAACGGGATTTTGAAAATACAGGAGCCCCTCCTGCAATTCCCAGGAGGCGCCACAAGAAGGCGGTGTAGGTAGAACTAAAAATTCGGCGCTCCCGCTGCCTCTCTTGCCGGACCCGCCGGCGAGTAGCGGAAGCGGAAGCGACCACGTGAGGTGCTTTGCAGTGGCCGGGAGTCTGCGGCGGATGTGTCAGTAGGAGGCGAGGAGCGCTTCCCTCGGGTGCGGGAAGACGTCGCTTTTCTAATCCTGCTCCCGCGGCCCGAGGCGCTTCCCCGGCAGCGGTCACCATGGTGAAGGAGCAGTTCCGGGAGACGGATGTGGCCAAGAAAATGTAAGATGGAGCGAGACTGGCCAAAGGGCGGAGGAAGGCGGGGCAGGGGGTCGGAGGCCAGGGGTCCCGGCGCTGCGAGGGTTTGAGTGGGGGCCAGTTGGAAGGGGCGGGCGGGGACCAGAGGTGTGGCAGAGGTCAGAACTACCAGGGTAGGTCAGAGAACACTGATGAGGCAGAGAGCGTATCGGCACCCAGGGCACAGCAGGCCGGGGGTCCCCCTGGGCGTGGGCGGGATGAGGCCGGGCTGTGGCGATGCGCCTCCGTGGCCGCAGCTCGCGTTCTCCCGAGCTCAGGCGATGGTCCCTTTCTGCGGCGAACCCGTCGCCACTGCAGCGTGGGGCAGGGACTAATCCTGGTCTTGCTGTAGAGCACATGACAGGGAGGCGGTGCTGCTGACCTCAGGACAGCCTTGTGCGCTAGGGGACTGGTCCGCCGGCATGCATAGCAGTCTCCGAGGCGAGGCTGCTCTCCTGGGCCTTCTCCTTCAGAGCTTGCTTATTAGGCCGTGGCCTCTCCTTAGAGCCCCCAGTAGGCAAATGAAAATCACTCGTTCTGGCAGCATTTACTCCAGAAGGGACTGTGTGCCGGGCTCGGTGATAGGCCTTAGAGATACAGCACACCCTACTGCCCTCCTGTAGTTGGAGAAGGTAGACAAGTCAAGGTTGGCTATGGCAAGAGCAAGGACGGGCGCATAGGTGCTTCTGAGAGCACCCAATGTGAAAGGGGCTCAGGCAGAGGAGAACAGACCAAGCAGCCTCCTTTAAGGAGCACACCGGAGGGAGAAAGGCTGGGTGATGAGAAGGAAGCCGGAGACTTGAGGCCGTGCTCAGGAGTCAGCTTGCAAGCAGCGAGGGACCTTTGGAGGGCTTTAATTAAGCAGGGGAGTAGCTTGATCAAAGTTCTTCTGAAAGGTCTCTTGATTCAAAAGGGACAGGATAAGAGGGAGACTTTGGAGGCCACTGCAGGGATCCATGCTGGGGATGATGGTGGCCTGCACTAGAGTGGTAGAGTCACTGGAGAGAAGAGCATTTCAGAAGGGTTTAGGGTATAAGATTGGTAGGGACGGTGTAAGGGAGAAATGAGACGGCACACAGAATTTCTTGTTTCGGCAGCTGTGTGGATGGTTGCCACTCACTGGAATGAGGAACCTGTGTCTTACCTGGATGAATCCCCCCAGGCTTTCTCTCCAAATCTCTCCTGCCCCTCACACCCACCCCAACCCCCGCCTGTGTTCAGATGTAATCTGTTCTCACAAAGCAACCCAAGTGACTCTGTTAAGATGAAAATTACATCCCTGACACTTCAGTTTAAAATCTTCCAGCAGCTTTCCATTGCACTAGCATTTAAATTCCTGAGTCCTACGTGACCTGGCCCCTGCACACCTCACTGACTTCTTGTACCATTAGCTTACTGTGCTCTAGTATATAGCTTTCACTTGGTTCCTTGAAAATGCCAAGCTTTCCCCAGCTCAGTTGATTAGAGTATCGTCTCCTTACACCAGCATCATCTCGTTATACCAAGGTTGCGGGTTCAATCTCTGGTCAGGACACATACAAGAATCAACCAATGAATGCATAAATAAGTGGAACAACAAGTTGATGTTTCTCTCTCTATCAAATCAATAAATATAAATAAATAAATAATAAATAAATAAAAACACCTTTATTTTTTAAAAAAGAAAGAAAATGCCAAGCTTGCTCTTGCCCTATTTGTGCTCTATTTCAAATGCTCAACCAATGGGTCATCTTATTGCTGGTCCCTTCTTATTCAAAATTCAGCTTAAAAGCCAATTTTAGCCCTGGCCGGTTTGGCTCAGTGGTTGGAGAGTTGGCCTGCGGACTGAAGGGTCCTGGGTTCTGACAATTCCGCCAGAGGAATGTACCTAGGTTGCAGGCTTGATGATCCCCAGCCCCAGTCGGGCGTGTGTGGGAGGCAACCAATCGATATGTCTCTCTTATATCTCTCTCCCTCCCTCTCCCTGTCTGTCTGTCTGTCTCTGTCTCTCTCTGTCTCTCTCTCGTGGGAGGCATGTCTTTCTCTCATATTTCTCTCTCTCTCCCCCTCTCTCTCTCCCCCCCCTTTACCTCACTCTCTCTAAAAAAGCAATAGAAGAAATATCCTTTGGTGAGGATTATTTAAAATAAATTTTAAAAAGTCNTTTAATTATTTTATTTTTCAAAATAACTTTGTGAACTGGAGGAGCATGCATGGCCATGTTCTCTGCCTTGTTTCTTTTGTTGGTTGTCCAGATGGTGCCCTTGTTCCTTGGGAGGGTTCATTTTAGCCTCCAACTCTCTCAAACAGTTAGAGGCTTTAATGAAGAGGGTATTAATGTTGCCCCACCCGCATGGCTCAGCGCGGTTCGATTCCCCGTCAGGGCGCATGGCCCAGGTTGTGGGCTCGACCTGCAGCAGGGGCGTGCAGGAGGCTGCTGATCAATGACTCTCACCATCCATGTTTCCATCTCTCCCTTTCTCTGACATCAGTCAAAATTTATGTTTTTTAAAGAGGTGGTATTATTGTTAATAATGACTACTGTTTATTTTATGCAGTTTTTGGCTCTCTGGCTGTCTGAAAGGTCCTGAGGCAATGGGCTGTCGTTTATCTGCAGGTGTCAGATGACCTGGAGAAACGAAGCTGAAACGGGATTTTGAAAATACAGGAGCCCCTCCTGCAATTCCCAGGAGGCGCCACAAGAAGGCGGTGTAGGTAGAACTAAAAATTCGGCGCTCCCGCTGCCTCTCTTGCCGGACCCGCCGGCGAGTAGCGGAAGCGGAAGCGACCACGTGAGGTGCTTTGCAGTGGCCGGGAGTCTGCGGCGGATGTGTCAGTAGGAGGCGAGGAGCGCTTCCCTCGGGTGCGGGAAGACGTCGCTTTTCTAATCCTGCTCCCGCGGCCCGAGGCGCTTCCCCGGCAGCGGTCACCATGGTGAAGGAGCAGTTCCGGGAGACGGATGTGGCCAAGAAAATGTAAGATGGAGCGAGACTGGCCAAAGGGCGGAGGAAGGCGGGGCAGGGGGTCGGAGGCCAGGGGTCCCGGCGCTGCGAGGGTTTGAGTGGGGGCCAGTTGGAAGGGGCGGGCGGGGACCAGAGGTGTGGCAGAGGTCAGAACTACCAGGGTAGGTCAGAGAACACTGATGAGGCAGAGAGCGTATCGGCACCCAGGGCACAGCAGGCCGGGGGTCCCCCTGGGCGTGGGCGGGATGAGGCCGGGCTGTGGCGATGCGCCTCCGTGGCCGCAGCTCGCGTTCTCCCGAGCTCAGGCGATGGTCCCTTTCTGCGGCGAACCCGTCGCCACTGCAGCGTGGGGCAGGGACTAATCCTGGTCTTGCTGTAGAGCACATGACAGGGAGGCGGTGCTGCTGACCTCAGGACAGCCTTGTGCGCTAGGGGACTGGTCCGCCGGCATGCATAGCAGTCTCCGAGGCGAGGCTGCTCTCCTGGGCCTTCTCCTTCAGAGCTTGCTTATTAGGCCGTGGCCTCTCCTTAGAGCCCCCAGTAGGCAAATGAAAATCACTCGTTCTGGCAGCATTTACTCCAGAAGGGACTGTGTGCCGGGCTCGGTGATAGGCCTTAGAGGTACAGCACACCCTACTGCCCTCCTGTAGTTGGAGAAGGTAGACAAGTCAAGGTTGGCTATGGCAAGAGCAAGGACGGGCGCATAGGTGCTTCTGAGAGCACCCAATGTGAAAGGGGCTCAGGCAGAGGAGAACAGACCAAGCAGCCTCCTTTAAGGAGCACACCGGAGGGAGAAAGGCTGGGTGATGAGAAGGAAGCCGGAGACTTGAGGCCGTGCTCAGGAGTCAGCTTGCAAGCAGCGAGGGACCTTTGGAGGGCTTTAATTAAGCAGGGGAGTAGCTTGATCAAAGTTCTTCTGAAAGGTCTCTTGATTCAAAAGGGACAGGATAAGAGGGAGACTTTGGAGGCCACTGCAGGGATCCATGCTGGGGATGATGGTGGCCTGCACTAGAGTGGTAGAGTCACTGGAGAGAAGAGCATTTCAGAAGGGTTTAGGGTATAAGATTGGTAGGGACGGTGTAAGGGAGAAATGAGACGGCACACAGAATTTCTTGTTTCGGCAGCTGTGTGGATGGTTGCCACTCACTGGAATGAGGAACCTGTGTCTTACCTGGATGAATCCCCCCAGGCTTTCTCTCCAAATCTCTCCTGCCCCTCACACCCACCCCAACCCCCGCCTGTGTTCAGATGTAATCTGTTCTCACAAAGCAACCCAAGTGACTCTGTTAAGATGAAAATTACATCCCTGACACTTCAGTTTAAAATCTTCCAGCAGCTTTCCATTGCACTAGCATTTAAATTCCTGAGTCCTACGTGACCTGGCCCCTGCACACCTCACTGACTTCTTGTACCATTAGCTTACTGTGCTCTAGTATATAGCTTTCACTTGGTTCCTTGAAAATGCCAAGCTTTCCCCAGCTCAGTTGATTAGAGTATCGTCTCCTTACACCAGCATCATCTCGTTATACCAAGGTTGCGGGTTCAATCTCTGGTCAGGACACATACAAGAATCAACCAATGAATGCATAAATAAGTGGAACAACAAGTTGATGTTTCTCTCTCTATCAAATCAATAAATATAAATAAATAAATAATAAATAAATAAAAACACCTTTATTTTTTAAAAAAGAAAGAAAATGCCAAGCTTGCTCTTGCCCTATTTGTGCTCTATTTCAAATGCTCAACCAATGGGTCATCTTATTGCTGGTCCCTTCTTATTCAAAATTCAGCTTAAAAGCCAATTTTAGCCCTGGCCGGTTTGGCTCAGTGGTTGGAGAGTTGGCCTGCGGACTGAAGGGTCCTGGGTTCTGACAATTCCGCCAGAGGAATGTACCTAGGTTGCAGGCTTGATGATCCCCAGCCCCAGTCGGGCGTGTGTGGGAGGCAACCAATCGATATGTCTCTCTTATATCTCTCTCCCTCCCTCTCCCTGTCTGTCTGTCTGTCTCTGTCTCTCTCTGTCTCTCTCTCGTGGGAGGCATGTCTTTCTCTCATATTTCTCTCTCTCTCCCCCTCTCTCTCTCCCCCCCCTTTACCTCACTCTCTCTAAAAAAGCAATAGAAGAAATATCCTTTGGTGAGGATTATTTAAAATAAATTTTAAAAAGTCACTTTTACAGAGAGATTTTCTGATCACACCAACATAAAATAGGCTCCTCAGACTCTGTCTCCCACTTTACGTCATTTTCATTCTCTGCGTTTATTCCCTTTTGTGTATCAGTTTATTGTCTGTCTTGCCCACCCTGAACTGTGAGCTCCATGTTGACAGGGACCTTGTCTTATTTAATCTGTGTTCTCAGCCCCTCAGGATGGTGCCTGGCACATTGTAAACCCCCTATTTGGGAGGAAAGTGAATGATTCGGGAGAGAAAGTATTAGGTTCTGTTTTAGATGTGTCAAGTTCGAGGTGCCTGTGGGATATCCAAGCATAGCTGTCCAGAAGAGGTGTCTGTGGTCTCCAGCTGAATAGAAGTAGCTGGCCTACAGTTAGGGATTAGAAAGACATCAACATCAACACACTGAAGTGACACGATCACTCAGGAGGAATGTGTAGAATGAAAAGAAGAGAGGATGAGGTTTATAACCCCAGGTAGGGAGAAGTGCCAACATTTAGGAGATGGCAGTAAAAGCAGAGACCACAAAAGCAACAGCTAGAGAAGGGAAGAAAACCCAGAGTACATGTCACCAAAGCCACGAGAAGACAGTATTTCAAGATGAGGGGGGAAGGAGGCATGAACTGCTGATGCTGCAGCTAGGAAAAATGAGAATATTCTTAGTAGATGTAGCATCCAACAGGTGGGCTCGATGACCTTGGTGAGCAACATTTCATTTGATAGAGTGGAAACTATCCCAGCAGGATGAAGGGGCACTTACCAAGGAAAAATGGGAGAGGTTTGAATATATAATAATGGAGGAGCAGAGCCCATAGAGAGTTGGAAGGATATGGTTGCTTATGGAGGGTCACATATGTAATTGCCGTTTTTGGTGAGTGGTTTTGATGTAATGGTTCCCCTGTGTCTCTTCATTCCAGAAGCCACATCTGTTTTGGGATGAAGTCACCTGAGGAGATGCGCCAACAGGCGCACATCCAGGTTGTGAGTAAGAACCTGTACAGCCAGGACAACAACCACGCCCCCTTGCTGTATGGGGTGCTTGACCATAGGATGGTAAGACTGCTTCCCCTCCCTGGTTCCATGTGCTTTGACTCGCTGATGAAACTGGTGACTTACCAGATTGGTAGAAACAAGGGCTTCTTTCCAGCCACCCTAGTCCCCTGCACATCGCAGAGACTCTAGCCTTCGGTCACTTGGATAGGAATACACTTTAGGTCACCACGTGATTCTGATTCTGAGCCACCTGCCACCTGTGAGGGCTGGTCCCCACTTTGTTGTCCAGTAGTCTTCACTGATTATTGGGTGTGCTTTTATCCAAAGGGTACGAGTGAGAAGGACCGTCCTTGTGAAACCTGTGGGAAAAACTTGGCTGACTGTCTGGGCCACTACGGATACATTGACCTGGAACTGCCATGCTTTCACGTGGGGTATTTCAGAGCAGTCATAGGCATCTTACAGGTAAGCTTGTGTGTGTTCCTGTCCCAAGCATGAACTTGGGAGTTATCAATTAGGACATTGGAGTGAGCTTAGGAATTAGGAGAGGTGGGAGACACATCTAGGGAAAATTTTTATACTGAACACATAATATCTTATCTTTAATAAATTAAATTGCTTAAGGATTCTTTATTCCTTGAATTTCCTTGCGTAAGTGGTAGATACATGTTGTAAAAGATAATAATTCAAGTAATACAGAACAACAGAAAAAAATGCTAAAAATCCTCCCAGCCAGCTGTGACTGGCCGGCATCCCATGAACTTGGGCTGCCTCTGTGCAGATGTTCACATAGATCTGTGCATGTGGTCACTCAGTTCAGTGTCCTGGGCAAGGGGTGGGGGTGCACTTTAAAAAGAAAAGCACTTTTTCATCCTCTTATTCTTTAAGTTTTCTTTCCTTTCTGAAAGATGATCTGCAAAACATGCTGCCACATCATGCTGTCCCAGGAAGAGAAGAAGCAGTTTCTGGACTATCTGAAGAGGCCTGGCCTGACCTACCTCCAGAAGCGAGGCCTGAAGAAGAAAATCTCTGATAAATGCCGAAAGAAAAACATCTGCCATCACTGTGGCGCTTTCAATGGTGAGCAGAATGCAGGAAAGGCTCAGCAGTGACCCTTTCCATTCATTCTCTGCTTAGCTTATTGGTTCTACGCAGTGCTTTCTTGCAGATGAGGCTATGGAGCCTAGCAGCCGATGCACTGTTAGCTGGTGCACCTCTCATCTTTCATGGCTGTAGCAATTTCAGTGACTTCATTAACCAAGCTGCAACCTCAGGCCAGCCTAACGAAGAACCTCATTTACTTAACCTTGGTAAATAAATTCTTATAGGTACTGTAAAGAAATGTGGATTACTGAAGATAATCCATGAGAAATACAAGACCAACAAAAAAGTGGTAGATCCTATCGTATCAAATTTCCTTCATTCTTTTGAAACTGCCATCGAGCACAACAAAGAAGTGGAGCCCCTGCTGGGGAGGGCACAGGTGAGCCTGATACGCATGCCTGCCCTCTTCCTGCCTCCCTTACTCGCTTTAATTCCACCTAGGTGTTACACACATTCTGTCTCTCCACCCCCTGATATATACACATTTAAATGAGATGTCCAGTTAAGTTAGATCTGCAGGAATGCTTCATGTGACAAGTGTTTGGCACTAAGTTTAATGTGGACTGGCCTTGTAACTAACAAATTTTCAATTGTCCAGGTAACATGTTACATCTTTATTATAAGATTGTAAAATTAGCCCTGGCCAGCGTGGCTCAGTTGGTTGAGCTTCGTCCTGTGCACTGAAAGGTCCCCAGTTTGATTCCCCTTAGCTGCTCCCATGCAGCCTCCTCTGCTTTCTGGACCCCCTTTCTGATCTTAGCCTTGCCTCAACCATGTGTATATTTTCTGTGCGTTGTTTAACACTTGTGCTCTGTCTTATATTTTTGGTGGTTTCCTCTGCTTAAGCTTGGTCCATAACAAGATCCATTTTTCTGAGGTCCTGTTTGATGCCATTTATGGTGCTTGGAGCATGCAGGGCCTCTGAGATCATCAGCTGGTCCTAGCTCATTTAATTTCAGGAATGTAGACCCCATGCCTTTAGGGCAGCACAGCATGATTGGGTCTGGGTTACACATCCATTTAGGAATTGAACAGAACCTCTGGACTCTTATCTCCAGAAGACTAGTGTATATCACTCCCAAATTTAATGCAAATCTAGGGGTTGGTAGACCTGCAACCAACCTTGTCTCCCCTCCCCACCAGGTAAAATGCATTCCACCAGGTCCCTGGCAGACTGAGTGACAGGCTGCCCGACTGTCATCCTTCCAGCCATGTTCCCTCACCATCACCCAAAGCAGCCCACGCTTCATCACTAGAGCTCTAGCTGTTAGGATGTTCTGCCCTGTACAGAACTTATTCCTTCGCTGCTATCTTTGCACGGGTCCCTGATTTCTGCTTCCTGGTGATAACAGAATAAGTCACCAGCCTCCTCCAGGTGCCTCTTGGGAAGCAGTTATATTGGTCTTGGGGTAGCTGCTCTTGCAGAGAAATGGTTTCCACGCTCTTGCCAGTGCTCCTGCCCTCCTGGACGGCCTTCAGTCCCGTGGTGTCCTCGCCTGGTACTGACTGGTCCCGCAGGTGACGGCTGGCCTTCATCCCCTTCCTAGAATGCTGTGAACAGTTGTCAATTGCGTCCCTAACTGCTTCAGGTGGTAGTGAGGTGCCCATTGCTGGGAGACAGGGAAATTGAGGAAGGGAGTTCTTTTCTGGGTGCGGATATGGTTTGGAAAACCTTGCTTCTCCCCTACTTCACTGCTGTTTATTTCCTCCCAGGCGCGACTGCAGTAAGTTTCTTTTGCGCTGCTGTTCTAAGGACAGCAGCTGTTCAGACATTGCTTTCTTTGTTCCCCTTCTCATTAAGTTATGCAGAGCAACTTCTGCTTATAGCACATAGTCTTAGTCACACGATCTTTGATCCCAAGAAAAATTAATAAGCAGTGACAAGATGCAAGCTGATCATTCTTCCCTTTGATCTTTGAATATCTAATAATTTGCTTAGTTCTTATATTATGAGTAAGTCGTTACAGCATGGCACTTCTATTAAATGAGGTTAATACAGACCAATGTAAGTTCACTACAGAAAATGTAACAGTAGAAGCAAAATGATTATAATTCCACTCACCGAAAGACAGCACTGTTAAAACCTTGGTAAACTCTTCCATTTCCTCTTTTCTGTATAGATGTACATCCTAAATGAGATCATATTGTACACATGCTTATTTCATTTACCGGTATTTTGTGAACATCTCTCATGGCAAATAGCTACATTCTGTAGTGTTTTTTTTGTGTTTTTTTTAATGGCTTCATAGTTTTTGATGTGTGGATATACCATAATTTTATCTAGCCAGTAACCCACCAGGCTGTTTCCAACTTCACTGTTAAGAACAGCTTTAGTGAACATCCTTGTAGCTAAATCTTTGTGTTACTTTTTGAAATCATACCCTTTGGAATAATTATGAGAAGTGGAATTATGGGTTTAAATAATTGGAATAAATGGCATGCATATTTTAAGGGCTCTCATAACATAGCATATTAACAGAAATCTCTGTCATCACTTATACTTATTCCAAGTGGTGAATAGGCTGAGAGCATGGAGCAGTAAGCCCTTGCCCAAGCTCTGGGAAATTAACCACTCTCTTTCCTTTCCATAGGAAAACTTGAATCCCTTAGTAGTCCTGAATTTATTTAAGCAAATCCCAGCTGAAGATGTCCCTCTTCTTCTGATGAACCCAGAAGCTGGGAAGCCCTCTGATTTGATTCTCACGCGACTTTTAGTGCCCCCCTTGTGTATCAGACCCTCCGTCGTAAGCGATTTGAAGTCTGGCACCAATGAAGATGATCTGACAATGAAATTGACAGAAATCATTTTCCTAAATGATGTCATTAAAAAGGTCAGTGCTTCCCGTTAGCATTGGCAAGCCCTACGTTTTAGAATTTATCCATGCAAACACTTGTGATCGAGAAAGTCAAGTTGACAAGGCTTGTTTCTATTCATCCTCTGCTCATTTCTAGCATCGGATATCAGGAGCCAAGACCCAGATGATCATGGAAGACTGGGACTTCTTGCAGCTTCAGTGTGCCCTCTACATCAACAGCGAGCTCTCGGGCATTCCCCTTAACATGGCGCCCAAGAAATGGACCAGGGGTTTTGTGCAGCGCCTAAAGGGAAAGCAGGGTATGTTGCCAACAACATGTGCAGGGGACAGTGTACTACCTTTGTTTGTTTCTTTGTTTCAGAACAACTTATCTAATTGGAGATCAACTTATCTAACCGTGCAGCTTATCTAATTGGAGATCACAGACTTTCCTTTGTCTTTCTGTCCTGTTAGCCTCAAATGGCACACCTCGTGCCATGGAGACCTGTGACACAAGTTTGTTTATTTAGGTCGATTTAGGGGCAATCTCTCAGGAAAGAGGGTGGATTTTTCTGGCAGAACAGTCATTTCACCTGACCCCAACCTCCGGATCGATGAGGTAGCTGTGCCGGTTCATGTGGCCAAAATTCTCACTTTTCCTGAGAAAGTAAGTACCATTCAGCTAATTGAGTCTTTGTTTTGAATACAGTCTTTTACGTTGTATTTCAAGATTCCAAACCACAGACAGTGGAAAAATCCCTGGTAACCCCCCCCACACACACAATTTGGCATGTGTTAATATGTGTATCTTTCCAGTTTGTTTCATGTCTTATACATACATCGCCCTATGTAATATCTTCAGCATGTACAACCACGACTGTGTGTGTACTCGTAGGTACATTAAATATACTGTCTGCAACTTTTATCCAAGTGCTATCACCTTTGACATCTTTCTGTGTTGCTTCATACCTCATGTTTTAAAGTAACTAAATGATAAACACCACACACAGTTAATTTTCTTGGGATGGATCTTTATTTTTAAAACCTTAGAATCACTGAGTTGGGCTTTGAATATTTAAAAACTATTGATGCATAACCGGAAAGGCTGCTCCACTTTACCCTCAGCTGACACTCGTCATGAATATACAATACACAGTACTTTTAACTGGGCTATACAAGGCCTAATAACAGGAGGCTATTAATTGCCTTTGCCCCTGAGATGCATAATTAGCCCAGATCATAGATGGTTCTAGTAAAATTTGTGGGAAGTGTCTTCAGTTGAGTTACTAATGATCCTGAGTTTCCTGCCCTGAGTTGGTGTTCCTGGAGAGTTGTCCAGAATGCTGTAGGGCACCGCGATGCAGACCAGGGCCTCATGCTAGCGTCACAGCTTTGAAACCTTGGAAGCCCGTGGTAAATCATTGCAGATGAAGTTGCCTCCTGTTTTTAGGATCACAGTATGTGCTGGAATGTTCCTTCAGATCAGTCCAGCTCACTTACTTTTCTGATGGGGATACCATACGCCAGTGAAGGACTTGGTTGTCTCATCCAGTGAGTGAATGACCAAGTTCAGACTGGAACCTGGGCTCCTGTGTGCCAGTCAGTTGTCATTACACTCAAAACCCTGGGCAGCAGGCTGTGCAGGGCACTGCCACTCTTTCTCCTAGAATCACACAAAGAGAGTGAAGACTGGGACACAGTTTAGTATATTGAACAACTGATAGAAGTATAACATGTGTAATCTAATATTATCTCATTGTGATCCTGCAGGTAAACAAAGCAAACATTAACTTTTTGAGGAAACTGGTTCAAAATGGACCTGAAGTTCACCCAGGAGCCAATTTCATTCAGCAGAGACACACCCAGATGAAAAGGTAATGCATTCTCAGTCTAGTTGGATGTAACTACCTTCTCATGACCAACCAAGTTCACTGTTGCCTTGCTTAGCCACAGAATGCAGTCCAAAGTACAGTTTTGGGACATTTTAGCATGTGGAAAAGAGGTGTTCAGATTGCAGTGAGCCTATGTATGCCATTTGCCCTGTTTGATGATTGATGATGAATGAAGTGTTCATTTGTTCCCTAGCATTTAGTGTTATTGGATCTGGGTGGACAAAACACATTGGGGTAAATGAAGCTGAATCATAATCAGTTTAATTGATGGCTCTGGAGGCACCTTAGAGTTAATGAAATATCATTTTAGAGTTTGAATCCTGATACGAGGAGGTAGGAACTTGATGAGGAGACCTTGCTCTCACACATCATGTTTATTATTGTGTGTTAAGGTTTTTGAAATACGGGAATAGGGAAAAGATGGCTCAGGAGCTCAAGTATGGGGACATCGTAGAGAGACACCTCATAGACGGGGACGTGGTGCTGTTCAACCGGCAGCCCTCCCTGCACAAACTGAGCATCATGGCGCATCTGGTGAGTATGGGATTTCTGGTTTTATTTTCTGTGGGGTGGAAATATGCTGTGTACGCAGCGCTAAACTCCAGACATCTAAAATTAAAATTGCCAGTAATCTCAGATGTTCATAACTTTGGATTTTCCTTTTTTCTCACTTTCTTTTTAATATATCTTTATTGATTTCAGAGAGGGGAAGGGAGAGAGAGAGAGAGATAGAAACATCAATGATGAGAGATTCATTGATCGGCTGCCTCCTGCACACCTCCAACTGGGTATCGAGCCCGCAACCCGGGCATGTGCCCTGGCTGGGAATCGAACTGTGATCTCCTGGATCCTAGGTCGATGCTCAAGCCCTGAGCCACACCAGCTGGGCCTTTTCTCTCACTTTTTAATTTTTTTTTTTTTTAATCCTCACCTGAGGATATTGTTTCCATTGCTTTTCAGAGAGGGAGAGGGGAGGGGGGGAGGGGGAGAGAGAAACGTCAGTGAGAGAGAGAGAGAGAGAGAGAGAGAGAGAGAGAGAAAGAGAGAAACATCGATATGAGAGAGACATATTGCCTCCGCACATGCCCTGACCAAGGCCAGGGATCGAGCCTACAACCGAGGTACATGCCCTTTGGCGGGAATTGAATCCAGGACCTTCAGTCTGCAGCCTGGCGATCTAACCACTGAGCAAAACTGGCTAGGGCTCTCACTTTTTTGTGTGAGGGAAACTTCTAAATTTCAAGCTTCCTTTCAATGTTTTTAATATTTATAATGTAATATTCACACACAGTAAAACAGAGAGGAACTAATTGGAAATTAGTGTAAGAGTGACTAGCATGATTTCACTTTCAAACGAAAATATACATATATGTGTACACAAACTTATGTAAAATAGATATGGCAGAAAATTGATTTTTGATTTAACTTAGTGTATTAACTAAGGAACTAAAATGCTTAAAATACTTCTCTTTGCAGTAGTCCTCCAGTGAAGACTCTAAACCATATTTTTTTGGTGATTTAGTTTTGCAACAGCAGCAGTTCCTTTTTCTGGAAATTTAAAATGGAAATGGGATGCAACTTTAATTTTTAAAATATTCATCAATTCTGCAACCTTCAAAGCCATTAAACCATGAGCATTTGTAAACAGGGTTTTAACAGACTCTTAAAGTGGTGTGTTTCTGGATTTAGTTTTTCAGTAGTTCATGAACACATTGCATCAGTGTTTTTACCTAACGGGGGAAACCACAGAGCAGCAGTTTATGATTGTGAGGTTATGATTATGGGACCTAGGGGGGAACAGAAGCCTTCCTTTTCTAAAAGCTTCTGCTTGGCTTTGGAGCATTTTTATAGAAGAAATTTTTTTGTTTGAATATTTTCAAATATACACAAAAGTAGAAAGAATACTGTAATGAACTCACATAGTCCCACCCTCTTTATTCTGTAATTTTCTTGATTTTGCCTCACTTGTATGTCTTCCTTTTTTCTTTGGTGAACCCGGATGCCATGTTTTTTTCCATATGTATTCAGTTTAGCTCTGTAAGACACACAGAACAACCACAGTGCCATGACCCCTCACAAAATGAGCAGTCTTTCTTTCATAGTGTCTAGTACCCCGTCCACAGTCAGATCTCCCCAAGAGTCTCAAAACTCTTTTGCAGCTGGTTTGTTTGAATCTGGATGAAAGTACACATCACATTTGGTTGATACATGTCTTAGGTCTCTATTGATCTAGTAGAGTTCTTCCTCCTTTTTAAAATTTTAATGTCATTGTTGAAAAGAACAGGTTAGTTGTCTTGAAAAAGGTCCATGTTCTCAGGTCATTGGGGCTGCAAAATGGTGAATCTATCGTTTCTTTCACCTTTAATACATAGGGTTCTCTTACTGAAAAACGGGGGCCATTTGCTTCCCTAAAAGTACACTTTACAAAGGAAAGACAGCCTAAATACCTAATTCTTTTTCCTTTACTCTCATCTTGGGAAGTAAAAAGTTGGTGCCCAGTTACTTCAAGCTCCGTTGTTTTAAGTTCTTTATTTGTTCATTTGTTTTGACTTTCCCTTTCTTTAGTGTCATTGTAAACTCATGGGTTTTTATGTAGTCAGTGTGCTTTAATCAGCTTCTGCCATAAATCTTTTCTTTTTTTTAAAAGATGTCTTTATTGATTTCAGAGAGAAGGAAGGGGAGAGAGAGATAGAAACATCAATGATGAGAGAGTCATTGATCGGCTGCCTCCTGCATGCCCATTGCTGGGGACTGAGCCTACAACCTGGGCATGTGCTCTGACCGGGAATCGAATCTTGATCTCCTGGATCATAGGTCAATGCTCAACCACTGAACCATGCTGTTAGGGCTGCCATAAATCTTTTTGATATCAAGCTGTGATGTCACTGGCCAGGGAAGCCCCTTTGTATGGGTCCAGTGTTGGTGTTTGCCTCACAGTATTAGAAAAAGTTCCCTCCATTGGCATTCATGAATGAGTCTACAAGTGACTATGTCACTTGACAGAGCACACTAGAAATTTCTCTCTTTAATCTAAATCTTCCAGTTTTTCAGGAAACCATTTTCTTATGTTTGAAATTAAGAAGCTATGTGATAAATGACCTAATCCTTCTCTTGTTTTGTGTTCCATAGGCCAGGGTCAAGCCCCACCGGACCTTCAGATTTAACGAGTGTGTGTGTACACCCTACAATGCGGATTTTGATGGTGATGAAATGAATCTTCATCTTCCTCAAACAGAAGAAGCTAAAGCAGAGGCTCTTGTTCTAATGGGGGTACGTAGGGTGGTATAGCCCAGCTTAAAGCTCCATGAAAGGAGGGAAAAGGGATCGTGTCTCTTAGAAAAGACCCTTTAGTACGTAAGTGAGTTAGTGCCTGTAGTAGTTGCTCATTGGAGGGAGTTGATATTTCCTGACCTATAACGTGTGTTCCTGAGAGAAAGTATACATGAGCACCAGTTATGAAAAGATGAGACAGAGGGTAGCAGTAGATTAACCATTGGGTATCATGGGCAAAGATGTTCTGCATAAGTGGATTTTCCAGTAGCTAAAGATTCTTAAAGCACCAGTACATTTTATTGAACATTCTGAACTGAAACCTTGCCAAAGTATTAATGCTTCTTGGTCCTCTGAAGGGCACACTAAACAGTCATTTTTGTAATGACTCTTATCACCATTTTATTTTATTAATGGGTAAGGAGTGCCCATTAGATGCCAGGGGAGTTCAGCTATGAGTGAGGCAGATGCCTGTTCTTGAGGAGCTTACTGTTGTACTGTGTGTGCTGTTCCCTCTGAACCCAGCCATAGCAGGGGTGTGTGGTACCTGCTGTGTGAGGCTCTTCCCTCCTAAACCTAATGGCCCCACGTGTTGAGTTTTTAGAACTTAGGTCTTTCTTTTTTCTAGTATTCTTGTTTTCTGTATTATGTGCTTATGTGTCTTATGTTTGTAAGTGTTCCTTCCTCTGAAAATACTATCATATGTGATATGATGCTTCTAATCTATTTTGGTTTAGGGTGTTAGTATTGATTCTAAAGTAAAGGTGATTCGGTTCTGCAAGCAGATCTGTTAAAGTGCACGCAGATTTGGTGGGGACGGGAAAGGGGGGGTGGGCTGCATTCATGGCCCTTGCCAGAGTTCTTCATGGCCAGAGTTGATGTATTTTTCTGATAAATAAAATACTTAATGTATTTTGTATATACATGTTTAGATTATCCTTTAGAGAATTTAATAATTCTAAGAAATTTATGTGCCAAAATAAACTAAGGTCTTCAGCTTTTTAAAACTTTGATTCTTATTTGTTCAGACATTCTAGCATAGTAATGGAAGTTATTTTAAATAAGGTAAAGTTTCTACACATCACAACTTTCTTTATTTCTGCCTCTTGAATCAGTTTGTTCCTTACCCATGAATATAGATGGTGGTTGTCACGGTTAAGTAGCCTTTATTTCCCTTTCTCTGCCTAACATATAAATACCCAACTTGTTATAGAGTCTTCATGATTGACTATACTGGCTTTGCAGCATTTCACCACGTTAGCACACCATGATTCACCTACCCTCTAGTGTTAAGAATTTAAGGTGTTTTTCTTGTTTTGCTTTGAGAATTAGTCCCTCCAGGGCCGCCTCTATGCATTTAGAGTCTTCCTTTGAATTATTTCTTTAGACTCCTCGGCCTTTTCAGATTATTTCATTGATGCTGATTGAGCACTATGTGTGGCTAAGAAAGGTGCATTCTTACTTTCATTCCTGTTGTGTGGGGAGAGATAGAGAATAACAAATGTAAACATGTCAGGTGGTTGTAAGTGGTAGGAAGGAAAGAATCACTCAGGGTGAGGAAGAGAGAATGAAAGGGTCCTGTTTGACATTCGGGTAGTCTGGGAGGGCCACTAGAAAGGCGATGTGTGAGCCAGGTTCTGAAAGAAGTAGGAGAATGAGTGGTGGGCCTGTTAGCGAGAGAGTAATTCAGGTCAAAGAGCAGCGGGTACAAAGGCCCTGTGGTATGAGCACACTCGGGGAAACAAGAACCTAGTCTGTTTTCTCCTGAGCCTCAATATCTGTAGCAGTGGTGATGAGTGCTGTGCTGGGAATTAGTGGATGAAACAAGAGGACAGAATGCTTGATGGGTGGGTGGTGGATGGAGGATGCGTAGCCAGGAATGAGTTCTTGTTCTGCGCTCCCATAGTCAAAGGGTGAATAGATCAGTACAGTCATTTTTTCTGACTTAAACTCATTTCTAGTAAGCTCTCCAGAGGAAGTAATCAGAGTTGCAGAATTACTTGCAATAATAGAACACAGGCAATGCTCACCAAAAGGAAATTGGTTATATTAAATTACATCACATCTATACAACGAAACCCTTTGTGGCTCTTTAAAATGACAACGTAGCCTGGCTGGTGTGGTTCAGTGGTTGAGCATCAACCTATGATCCAGGAGATCGCGGTTCGATTCCTGGTCAGGGCACATGCCTGGGTTGTGGGCTCGACCCCCAGCAGGAGCAGCTAATCAATTACTCTGTCAGCATTGATGTTTCTATCTATCTCTCTCCCTTCTTCTATCTGAAATTAAAAATATATATATATATATATATATATTTTAAATGATAGTATACATCATTTAAAATATACATAGTACTTTGGTAAGTAGATGCTTATATGTTTGTAAAAGCGTTTATAGCAAAAAGCTAGAAGGGTTATGTACCAAAATCTTAAAACACTACTTTTTGTTTCGCAGTTCAGCGCATTGAAGGTTTTAGTTTTTTTATGATTTATATTTTAGATTTTTTAAAATAATGGATATATATTCTTTTTGTAATTAAAAAGTAATGTTTAGAATGTTATTAGTGATAATAGCTATCAGCCTGCATCCAGTTAGACTTTGCCGTTCACTTTGCTATTATAGATCCATTTTGTTAGACATTTTGTTATAACAACATATTTCATCGATTTAAAATGAGAACACTAAAACAGGCTTCAAGGTGACAAATCCCCTCAGTTTCTGTGAGAAAGCTACCTACTGTACTGATTCAGTAGTCCTTTCTCAGTGGAGCAGGTGGGGCTGTAGCTTGAATGTGGCCCAAATTACCCAGGAAACGTTTCCGAAATATGCACATCTCATGCTCACACACCCTTCTCCCGTCTCAGACCACTCGCTGTCCACCCCAGAGAAATTCTCTTAATCAGAAGTTAACAGCTATCTCCTGCCCACTTGGGGATCACACTCAAAGATAACACAGTACTCATTCATAGAAGCGAATTTTGTTTGGAGAACTGCATTTATTAATAACAATAAAGTCTTGGATGGTAGAGGTCTTTACAGGAATCCAAAAAAACTTCACTCAGTATTGTATTTTAGTGTTGGTAGGAACCTCTGAGGTCTGTCCCGCTGGTCTGTCTTCTCTCCACTGGACAGATGAAGGAACTGGAAGTTAGTGACAAAGCTGGGATTAAGGCCCCCAGCTTCCATTTCTCAGCCTTGGCGTGCAGATCTTTGGACTGCATCATGCCTCCTAGGATGGCTAACTTACTGTATTCATTTTTCCTTTAGACTAAAGCAAATCTGGTAACCCCAAGGAATGGAGAACCACTAATTGCTGCTATTCAGGATTTTCTAACAGGTTGGTTTGTGAAATTCATTGAAAGGAAACTGTGGAGCACAGTGATTCTCATTCACAGTGGTTTTATATGACAACTTACAAAGCTACTTAATTGCGTGTGTTTAATTCTTTGTACTAAGTTTAACTGGGAACCCACTTGAGATGTTTTGTATTGGTTGGTTCTTCATTGAACCAGCAAGCATTTATTGAACTCCTACCGTAGACCAGACATCTTTTTAAGCACTGGGGATACAGCAGTTGGGTAAGTCAAGGTGCTTTTGTTAGTGAGCTTGAATTCTAGCTGGAGAGGAAAAACAATAAGCAGCTGTATGTTTTGCCACTTTTTTAGTAATAGTAAATATTTATGTTAAAATTGAAATGTGATTTCCTCACAGTTTCATTCCTTTGTGTGTGTGTTTAACACTTTTAGGTGCCTATCTCCTCACTCTTAAGGACACTTTCTTTGACCGGGCCAAGGCTTGCCAAATCATTGCTTCCATACTAGTGGGCAAGGATGAGAAAATTAAAGTTCGCCTCCCGCCTCCTACAATATTAAAGGTCTGTGCAGGAGCTGTGTGTGTCCGTCTTTCCGTCTGTCGCCATATGCCCTTATGGCTGTGCCCGTGCCCATGCCCTTGCTGGGTTTGCATGATTGCCGTAGTCTTGTCTTATTTATGTGAAAGGTAGTTGGGACCAGGCTTGGACAGGTGATGCTTTGGCTTCCTTTTCTCCTTCAGCCTGTTACCCTGTGGACAGGAAAGCAGATCTTCAGTGTCATCCTCAGACCTAGTGATGACAATCCAGTGAGGGCCAACCTTCGAACCAAGGGCAAGCAGTACTGTGGCAAAGGAGAAGATCTCTGTGTCAATGATTCCTGTGAGTTAAAGCAAGGGAGGAGTCGGGGGGACAGAAAAGCAAGTGACCAATAACTTACATTCACCTCGTGAGCAAATTTGATGTTCCTTTATGGCCTTAGCCTTAGGCAGGAAGTTTGTTCTTCAGGGAAATGTAGCTGGTATTTCTCCTTTCTCTTCTCTAAAAGATAGAGATCCTGTAGACACGTGGTCCAGTGATTAGAATGTTTCTCCACATGCATTTTGTCTTAAGTGACAAGTTTCTGTTTTTTTCTCCCCTTTTTTTTGGTATTTTTTAAAAATTAAATTTATTGGGGTAACATTGGCTTAGTTTCTGTCATTCACTGCAATTCGTTTATTTTACCTTTTTAGTTTTGGGTTTTTTTCATCAACAAGGGTCTCATTACTTAAGGCATATAATTTATTATGTGTTCATTGACTAAGAGTGTGACTAAAAAAGTATAACAGAAAAGACAAATGTTTTTACCTGCCTCACTTGGTCAGTGAATTTTCTGATAACATGAAGATCAGTTATCAGTGAGAGTAACAGAGTATTTAAGTACAGGCCAACTGAGTCAAGTGGACTAATTCACCCCAAAGTCTAGCCCACAGACCAGTGCCATTGAGCCAGCATTTACTTTCAGACATGAGCTCCTTAGTTCATCCAGACTGCTAACAAGAATGAGCTTTGCTAGCAAGGCCTTGTGACAAGAAATGGCTCTCTAGGACTTCAGACTGAAGGACTAAACTATAGAGGCTCTCTGAAGGTCAAGGTCTCTCCTGTCTTATAATGAAGATGAAGAACATTGATTTTCCTCAGGTTTATAACCAGTCCTTTGAAAATATACTCCCTGGATTTTTAGATTTTTTTTGGCCTGTTGTTTTGGATTGTGTTTCTTTCTAGATAAGAATTTCATTTTTTTGTTGGACAGACTTCATGATAGTCCCAGTTAGTTTTCAGTGTCTTAGGTGAATAACGTAGTGCTCTACACTTCAGTTGCAAAGCACTTTGCTGTGCATGATTCATTGATGCCCAAAATATCCCCATGACATAGAGATGGCAAGTGCTTGATATTGTCATGCACCGTTCATAGATGAAGAGAATGAGGGTCAACTAGTACATGTCAGAGTTAGGGCTGTAAGATAATTAATTGAGCCTTTCATGCTTTTTAAATGCTAGATTTCTCTTTTATCCCCCCTCAAAGAAAAATGTAAGGAGAATTTCTCTTTGCTTTGCCTTAACTTTCAATATGGGAACAAGTTTTCTCAGCTACCTCAAATTCTTTCTGGAATGAGGAACCGTATATTAATTGTCTGTTTAAATGCATAATCGTTGTTATCCTTCCAGATGTTACTATCCAGAACAGTGAGTTGATGAGTGGCAGCATGGACAAAGGAACACTGGGATCGGGATCTAAGAACAATATTTTTTACATTTTGCTGCGAGACTGGGGGCAGAATGAAGCTGCCGATGCCATGTCACGGCTTGCCAGGCTGGCTCCTGTCTACCTCTGTGAGCATCTCCACATCCTCATTTTATTGCTGTATTTATTGGGGTCCTAGGGGTTTCTTCTGCTATTGTTTCATCCCCTCTTCTCACCCCACACACATACACAGAGAAAAGGGTATTCATTCCAAGCTAAACATTTATGCTTTTCTTAATGAAATTAATGTAATACCGACTAATTTCGCTGCAGATTTGAATTTGCTTTTCAGTCTCTTCTCAAAATCTATAATGGCTCCATGTTGCCTACTAGATAGGATTGTGTTACATAAAGGGCCCTTCATGAACTGCTTTCAAGGTTTCTGTGCACTCACTGTAGCCCTCTGGGCCTTCCATGATTCAGCCCTACCAGGTTTCTCAATATTTTCCTACTATCCTTGCACTGTTCTATTTCCTTTGTTTGCTCATGTTTTGAACATGCCTTGAGTCAAGAGATTTTTACTGCCCAAAGTCGTCTTTAGTTTACTCTTACACTTGACTGAGTCTTTGGCTGGGTATAGAATTCTCGATTGAACATTATTTTCCTGCCTGGCCAGGCGTGGCTCAACAGTTGACCTAGGATCAGGAGATCGGAGTTTGATTCCCCATCAGGGCACGTGCCCAGGTTGCGGGCTGTGATCCCCAGTCAGGGGCGGGCAGGAGGCAGCCAATCAATGACGATTCTCTCATCATTGATGTTTCTATCTCTTTTCCTCACTGAAATCAATAAAGGTACTTTTTTTTTTTTTTTTTTAAATAAAAGAAAATTATTTTCCCTCAGAATTCTGAAGGTATTTCTTTATTCTACTCTAGCTCTCAGGGTTGCTATTAAAGTGTACAATTTTTTGGTATTTGAATTGTCTTTTTATTCTGGAAGCTTTAAGAATCCTCTCTTTGTTTTTGGCATTCTGGAAGTCCACAGTGGTACACCTTGGGTATGGAGTTTTATCATTCATTGTGCTGAGTGCTCTGTACACTCTCTTAATCTGCAGCTCTGTGTCCGACAGTTCTGGAAATTTTCTTGTATTATTTTTCTGATAATTTTCTCTCCTTTTCTTCCTCTGTTCTTTCTTCTTGGAATTCCTATTAATTGCCTACTAGAGCTCCGGGATTGACTCTGATTTTATCTTCTTTTTCTTGCTCATTGTTTGTTTCTGGTTTCACGTTTCCTTTTAGCACTTATATTGATTTAAACATCCTTTTTCACTATGGTACATTTAATTTCCAACCACTGTTCTTATCCACATGTAGTTCTTTTCTTTCTTTCCCTTTTTTTAAGGCTTCCTGTCCTTGCTCCCCAGATATATCTTCACTCTGAGAGAGTATCACTCACTTTATTTTATGTGCTCCCTGAGTATTCTTTATTTTCTTTTTTCTGTGTGTTTGTTATCTTCTGTCTTTCATGATAACGACTTTCCTCAAATATCTGGTCCCCTGGCTGTCATTTGTATTTTATGAGTGAGGCACTAAAATACTGGTTGGAAATGGAGCCAATTGTCTGATAGACCTCTCAGTTCCTTTTTATTGTTATTATATTTTTATTGATTTTCAGAGCGAGGAAGGGAGAGGGAGAGAGAGAGAGAAATGTCAGTAATGAGAGAGAGTCATTGATCAACTGCCTCCTGCACCCCCCCAACTCGGGATCCAGCCCGCAACCCGGGCATGTGCCCTGACCTGGAATCGAACTGTGATCTCCTGGATCCTAGGTTAATGCTCAACTGCTGAGCCACGCCATCCGGGTGACCTCTCAGTTTCTTAATTGAGATGGAAACCAGGTTTTTGGTTGAGGAACTACCCAATATCCCTGTTAGTAATGTTTTTCTCCAGAGAGACTTGATTTCTCCAAAGACATCTTTCAATCTCAGCCTCCTTCCCAAGGATAGAGACCTGGCTCCCAGGGTTATGGGAGCTGGACAGGGAAAGGGGCAAAGGAATCTTAGCCATGGAGTATGGACTTTCCCTAGTGCCTGATTTGTAGTCATCCCCATCTGTCTGCACCTAGAATCCCTCAGTCCAGAGCCTCTCTACCTCCATTTTTTGGGTAGTAAGCTTCCACCTCCCTAGGGGTCAGGCCCTGGGACCTGTTTTTTATGCAGACTTTGCTCTGGGTTTCTCTGTTTCCAACACACACCATCTCTAGCACCTGCAAAACCTGGTGATTTAGTGTCTGGGCATTTCCCTCGGTCCTCATCTCCGTAGCCACTTTTAGACATTTTATCCGCCCACCTGCTCACTTTCTACATGTATTAGGTTGAGGGTTATTGATGGTGCATAGTCCCATCAAGGTGGAGTTTACATTTGTTTCTTACTTTCTGCATTTTAGAATGATTTCTGAGAAGAGATACCAGGATTTGGGCAAAATCTAAGTCCCTGTGATGCTATTTTAGAACCAAAAGTCAGATGTCACACTTTCCGTAGCTGGTTTCTCAGGTTGCTCTCTAGTATTTAATGGCAGTCTGCTTTATGTTATCGTTAGTTGGGACAGCACTGCGTTCCCCACAAAGTGGTAAGGTCTGAGAGGAGTTAGTGAGTCTTAGCCATGACTCCCTAGGGGCTGATACAGTATATTTTAAGGTAATTGAATTATGATAAATTCTCTGAAGGTGTAAACTTGTTTCCACATAGTAGGTTGACTGACATCCATGACTCTCTCTTCCTGCCTTACCTGCCGACTATTCTACAGCAAACCGTGGATTCTCAATTGGGATTGGTGATGTCACACCTGGTCAAGGGCTGCTAAAGGCCAAGTATGAGTTGCTGAACGCTGGCTACAAAAAATGTGATGAGTACATCGAAGCCCTAAACACAGGCAAGCTGCAGCAGCAGCCCGGCTGCACTGCCGAGGAGACGCTGGAGGTGAGTCTGGCGCTCCAGCGGTCAGTTCAGCCACTTCATGCTCCTCGGTTGTGCTGTAAACCATGAAGGGAAGGTAGCAGAGAGGAGTGGGAAGCAAAGGCAGTGGCTTTTGGCTCACCTTGACCCTGTGCTGCTTGTGTGTATTTTCTTTTGTTTAATGAGGGGAGGGCCTTTGATTGGTCCCTTACATCCCTTCTAGGTCATGAAGACACAGCCCTATGTGTTCATTTGGCCACATGGGGCTGCTCTTGTTCTTACATCACGCTTGGGCCCCTTTTGGAGCTGATACTTAAGTGCTTCTCCCTTTGCTATTTCCGACATCCTTCAACTAAAGGCTGGCACTGCAGCTGTTTAAATGGATGGTCTTTGAAAGAGACTTGGGTACAGAAGACCGAAAATTCATGTCGAGAGTCACCAAGCTGCTGCTTCCCCCGTCCCCCCCTTTGGAAATAGGTTAGCTGAGAACAGGACCAGTGCATGTCAGAATCAGATCAGAATTGCCGCCATCCTCTGAGAGCTCTGCATGTTCTCTGAAGCAGGCAGATCAGCAGTCTGACTACACCGGGATTTTGTACATTTGTGATGAGCAGAGCCAGTGAGAGTGACTCCCCCACACGTCCCTTTCTTCCACCAGGCTCTGATCCTGAAGGAGCTGTCGGTGATCCGAGATCACGCCGGTAGTGCCTGCCTCCGGGAGCTGGACAAGAGCAACAGTCCCCTCACGATGGCTCTGTGTGGCTCCAAAGGTGAGTGGCTCTCTGGCTGCTGCTGTCATTGTTTTCTCCATACGGACTAGCTGGTTTTGTTCTGGAAAATGTAAGACTCATAACTTCATACAGGCCTTTCATTTATAAAGGCATATCTTTTTCAACTTACAGTTGACCCTTGACCAACACAGGTTTCAGTTGCACAGGTTCACTCATATGCCATTTTGGGTTTTTTTTTAAATCAAATGTATGTTCGATCCTCAGTTGGGAATCCACGTGCACGGAGGACTGACTTAAGTTACATGTGGATTTTTTACTGTGCAGGAGCCAGTGCCCCTCACCTTCACATTGTTCAAGTGTCAGCTGTATATAGAAAAGGAATTATTTATATTTTGGGAGTTGAATTTTCTAGAGGAACTTGTTGGAACTTATTCTAGAGGAATGTGGGTTTCTGAGTTTGAAGGTGTTTTGAGCAACTTTAAAACAACTTTTTTAAAAGCTTGGCATTTTAAAAATAATATACAGTATTTAGTGATGAGGCAAAAGGCTTTAATTTCACACTTACCCAGGACCTTAAAGCATTAGGTTTTATGACACTGTGCTCGAACTCAAAACCTCCATGCTTTTATTTCTGAAAGTTTTTTACAGATTAAGCCCAAGCTCTTTGACTTTGTTGCCCTTCACCCCAATATTCTACCTTTTGCTCCCTACCCTTTCCCATTCCTGTGTCTTTGCTTCCCACTCTTCCACCCACTTTGGAATTTTTCCCCCTACCCCTTTTTATGTCTAAATCATAATGTCCTCCAAAGGTCTAACCTGGTTGCTTTTTTTTTTTTTTTAATTAATTTGAGAGAGACATTGATTGGTTGCCTCCTGCACACGCCCCTATCGGGGATTGAACCTGCAGCGTAGGTATGTACCCTGACTGGGAATCGAACTAGCGACTTTTTGGTGCATGAGATGACACTCCAACCAATCGAGCCACACAGGCCAAGGCAAACCGGGTTGCTTCTTGAAGATGCACCTGGATGTCTTGCCTCCAACCCTGAGTGCCCGTTTGCTCCCAAGCACCTCTAGCCCTCACTCTGCCTTTCCTGTGTTACTGATAGCTCTGCCCTAGGCTGTGGACTTACTGAGGAGGAGGGGCTGTGCTGCGTTGTGGTCCTGTTTTATTTCACAGACCTGCCTGCTTTACTGTAATGTTATTTCAGTAAATGAATGTTCCATTCCCAGGTTCCTTCATTAACATATCACAGATGATTGCCTGTGTGGGACAGCAAGCCATCAGTGGCTCCCGAGTGCCAGATGGCTTTGAAAACAGGTCCTTGCCTCACTTTGAAAAACACTCAAAGGTAAGCATTGGTGGATCAGGCAGAACACTGGAGGACCATCAGCAGCGCAGAAGAGAGTAACTGAAGCTCTGCAGCTGCCAGCTGAGCGACTCTTGGAGGTGACGTAGGAGGGCAGGCGCTGCTCAGGGCTGTTATTCCCTCTTCAAACCAAACTGAGTTGTGTAGAAGGGGCCTTGTTCAACTCAGCTATAAAACTGGGACAATACCCCCTTGTATACTTTCTCTGAGGTGGAAGATTTCAGGTTCCCATCCAACTTAAGTAATCAAAACGAATGCTTACCATATATATGTGTTCAATCTGTATGCTTGCTTTGGGGGGACTTACATAAAAGAATAAGGATTTTTAAATGGCGATAGTATAAACCATACTAAACTGACCAGGAAATTTCAGGTTCTCTCCTCTAGAATTCTGAATTCTGTTAGCCTTTGTGGTTTGGGTGCTAGTGTAAGCAGAGAGGGACAAACCTGTGCTGAGGTTGTTCTGGGATACAAGGCAGACAACTATTAAGCCTGTAGTTAAGGAACTTAACGTAGATTTGGTTGCTCAGTAAATTCTGAGTTGGGAGCCCCAGCTGCTCCTGCCCCATGGAATTGCAGTATTTCTGTTCAGCCCCTTCTAGAGAGAGAGAGGGCTGCTATGCTGAGATATGTGGATAGTCTCTGTATCAGGTAGCCCCAGGAACAGTTCACGTCCTCTGCCCAAGATCCGAATTCACTAGAGGTCAGGCAGATAAGTGATCCTGGAATGGTACCTGCCTGTGCTTGTCAGGCTTAGAGTTGTGAGGCAGCTGACTAGCTTAAGAGGAGAGGCCAGGGGCATCCAGACATCTCGGTCCCTGGACCCGTGCTAGATTAGACTTTGGGATTTCTGTGCTTGCCAAGAAATGTCTGTGAGTACATCACCTGCCCCTTAAACAAAGTCAGGAAGCAGGAGGTTGGTCTAATCATCTCAATTGTCCTCTAAGTAGCATAGACCTATCCAGATCAAAGGCCATCTGGCCATTTCACGTGGTGTTTTACATATGTGTGCATTTTTTACGGTATTGTTGAAATACATTGTATATCATAGTCACCAATTCAAAGTATACAGCTCAGTGACAGTTCACATAGTTGTGTGATCATCACCATAATCTAATTTTAGAACATTTTCAGCACCCCAAATGAAACCCCATAAACATTAGCATCAAATGGTTATGTCTGGGAGGTGAGCAGGCCTGGCCCACAGGAAGGTTGTCTTTAAGAGAGTCATTGTTTCCCAGGGAACGGGCCAGTTGCTGCAGTCAGTGGACGCCCTCTGAGGTCCTTGACTGCCTGCCTGCTCTGTGGATAGCGGCCCAGGCTTTGGTTTCCTCTCCTGCGCCACTTGCCTGCCACTGACACCAGTACCAGCCCTGGCTGGGACCTCCCCCTCCTTGTCTCTGGTAAGGATGGGTTGTGTCCAGTTATTTCTCCTTTATGACGAGGTCTGTACAGCCTGCCACCTCATGAGAGTGCATTGGCCAGGTACTTATAGGTCGAAGGTGTGGCATTTTCTGATCTGAATGGGTTTTGGAATAGTGGACCTTGAACTTTGTTTTGTTTGTTTTTTCTTTTTTTCTACCTCTTTAGCTCCCAGCTGCCAAAGGCTTTGTGGCTAATAGCTTTTATTCTGGTTTGACACCAACTGAGTTTTTCTTCCACACAATGGCTGGCCGGGAAGGTCTAGTCGACACAGCCGTAAAGACAGCTGAAACAGGATACATGCAGGTAATTGAAGCCATGGAGGCCACTAACAGCAGAGTAGGGCAGGGCTCTGTGGATTTTGACTGCTGAGTGTTTACATGTTTTGTACATGACTTAAAATTTATCCGATCTTGGTATTTAAAGGGAAAAATTAAGAAATAGAGGTGCCCTAGAAATGAACAACAAAAAAGGGTAATGTTAATGTTCCAAATCCTGTGTATAGTGAAGGGTCACAAGCAGGCCAGAGCCACACATACCAGGGCTCTATTGGAGGGGGTGTGGACCAGAGGCACGTCCAGGGACACACATGGGCCTCACCAGGCCTGTTTCCAAATGCATGCACATCAGCGTGGTGGTACGTCCCTCCTGTTCATTGCGAGGACTCTGCTTCTCGCTTTGCAACTCTATCTAACTCCTTATTAGATCATTCTAATTGATTCCAAGAACCTATTTTGGCACCCACCCGCAGGAGAGCTTGGAGGGAAGGCTCCACTGTGTACAGTCTGGGGTAATAGGTTCAGGGGATGGAGCTAACCTAGAGGGTTTCCTGTGCCTGTGCTGCTCAGGCTGCCACAGAGGTACCCTAAAGGCAGAGGAGCGGACACATTCCTGCTTTTTTCTCCCATAAAACCACAAGCAAAGGTGGGGGGTTTTTTTTAGTCTAATTTTCACTTCTACGCCTTAATATATATTGTTGTTTTAATTTTAACCTGTTTACCTACTTATAACACCAAGTAAAGTTAGCACTTCGAGTTGCTGTGGCTTTGTGTCCCCTCTCTCCCCACTGTGGATCCCAGTCTGCAAAGCTTGGCCCTTTGCAAGCTGGGAAACCAGGGCTGATAATCCAGAGATGTGAATGAGTGGGCCAGGGCAAGCCAGGCTGATGAGCAGGCAATGGACTCGAAGCAGGAGACATCTATTTCTGTCACCTCTTCCGCACCTCGTGTGTCATTATTGCCACTTCCCTTTTAATCTGCTTTTGATGGGAAATTGCCCTTCAGTTTTGGAGTGTGCTGCTTTTGTAAAACCCAACAGACTGTGAAATGCTTTTGCCACTCTTGCCAGAATATCTTTTGACTTTATTTTTTGCCTTTACCTTTTGGAGTCGAGTACGGCTTTCCCAGAGCAGTGTGTTAACCTAGAACAGATTAGTTCTGGTGTGAGGGATTTTTGTTCTGAAGTTGCCTGGAGGAAGTTTCTTTCTCCCTAATTCACTGAGCCACCATCACGTTGCTGCTGCCGTGTGTTCTGCTGGTGGAAGGTGTTTCCTGAGAAGATTTGAGAACCGGCTGCTGCCTGCTGGTTCAGACACAATGCTGTCCCTGTTCTCTCCTTTCCCCAGTCCCAGAAGAGGGTCTGCACCTGATCCTCTGTAATTCATATTGATGTCCACAGGGGTCCTAGATTAAGTTGTGTTTAGGAATGCAAAGCTGTTGGCATTAATTTATACCTTAGGGAGAAAGAGAGAAGGCAGAGCAGGCTAGGAAAACAGTGTTCACATATTCCTTCGGGTTGGTGGGGTTTAAATTGCAGGTATTCTAAAGCGCTGGAGGTTGGGCATATTCTGAATCCCACTGGACAAACCAATGAGGCACTCTTGGCCTTGTTTTTGGGGCTAGGGAAATCTTTTCAAGGGATTTCTAATAAAATGTTTTTATGTGATTAAAGGGCTAGTAACCCTGAAACTTGGAGTTGGAAATCTCATCCTCTGTACATGTGACTGGTCTTCCCAAAGCAGCTGAGCTTTGTTTCCTTTCTTTCCCTTTAGAGAAGGCTTGTGAAGTCCCTTGAAGATCTTTGTTCACAGTATGATTTGACAGTCCGAAGCTCTACAGGAGATATTATACAGTTCATTTATGGGGGAGATGGCTTAGATCCTGCAGCCATGGAGGGAAAAGATGAACCCTTGGAGTTTAAAAGGGTTCTGGACAACATCAAAGTAAGATTTAGTATTATATCTGGGGTTGGAGTGTTTTGAGGACATTTCTTTAGAATGGAGGTATTCTTTGGAAAATCACACACAGTTCATGCTCAACCATATCTACCCAACTACCGGCTTAGTATTTTCTTTTGAAAGTTACTCTGCATAATTTTCCCAAATATTAAAGGAAAAGTATTTTCTCAATTTCAAAGCCTAGTATTTGTAGTAATCAAATGCCAGCAGAAGAGGCCTTGGTTTCTGAATTAGAGGCCCGTGTTCTAAGTCATGGGTATGAAAAGCAGGCATGTTTCACGTGTTGTAACTGGGGGGATAATTTAGAACAACCTTTTTGGAAAGTAGTTGGACAGTACTTATCTGAACTTAAATGTGGGTTCCTTTTCACTCCATAGTTACACTTGCAGGAATCTGCCCTACAGAAGTATCTAAATGTGCCAAGAGTGTTTCTCAGCACAGTTTGTAGTAGAGGCAGACCTTCAAATGGAGGGGAGCTCAGATACATGGGGGGCTGCCTGTGCATTAGGGTGCTACATAGCCGTTAAGACTTTGGGGAAATTCCATGAGCTTGAGGGTGGAGGAATATTTTTACTATTAAAATATTTGGGATTTTTAAAAACAATTTGTTGTTTTGTGTTTTTTTTAAATATATCTTTATTGATTTCTGAGAGAGGAAAGGAGAGGGAGAGAGAGAAACAGAAACATCAATGATGAGAGAGTCATTGATCGAGCCCACAACCCAGGCATGTGCCCTGACTGGGAATCAAACCCCAATCGCCTGGATCCTAGGTCGACTCTCAACTGCTGAGCCATGCCTGGCCAGGCAACAATTTCTATTTTTAATGCGAATCTGGATTGTGTTGAAGTTTGGGGAGTAATGGAACAAAACCCACTGACGAGCCCAGAAGTCTGTGTAAGATGGAGTAGGAGTTGAGTCTGTTTTAACCTTCATGTTAAAGATAGAGCCTAAAATCTGTTGTTGTTTTGTGTGTATTTTTTTAAAAATATATCTTTATTGATTTCAGAGGGGAAGGGAGAGGGAGAGACAGAGAAAGAAACATCAATGATGAGAGAGTCATTGATCGGCTGCCTCCTGCACGCCCCCGACTGGGTACCGAGCCTGCAACCCAGGCATGTGGCCTGACTGGGAATCGAACCGTGATCTCCTCCATCCTAGGTCGATGCTCAACCGCTGAGCCACTCCCATCGGGTTAAAATCTGTTTTGAAGGGGGAAAACATCACAGGTTGCTAAAGATCCCTCTAAGTAAGGTTGTCCTGTCTCGTAAATTCTTTCATTTAATATTGCCTCCCTTCGCCGTTGCCCCCACACATCACACTGTTTCTTTTTAACACTTGAGGCAGTCTTCCCGTGTCAGAGTGAGCCTGCTCTCAGTAGGAACGAGCTGGTCCTGACCACCGAGTCGATCATGAAGAAGAGCGAGTTCCTCTGCTGCCAGGACAGCTTTCTGCAGGTAAGGCCCTGCTGCTATCACCCTGACCTGGCTGGCACCATGGTGCTGGTGACCCCCAACCTGGCTTCCCCCCCCTCCCACTTGGCTGGCACAAGAAAACTGTTTGCCAGGTGCCAGCAGGTGAATTTCATAAGCTGAGGGCTTTTTATGTAAGAGTGTTTCTTTGTTTAAAAAATTCAAGAATGGCCTAGGTGAAATCTCGCTAGCCAACGTGAAGAATTTATCTTATGTCTTTCTTAGTTTATGGTTTTTACACAAGTATTTTCCTATTAGAAGAAAAATGCTTTACCTAGAGAACCGATTTTTTTAACCCTACCCCTGTCCACACCCTACAATGACTTTCTTACCCTGTGGACCAGCCCTTCCCTCAGCCATTCTGAATCCCCATATTTATTGGTAGTGGTGATGTTTCAGTGCCCTTTATTTTAAATTGCTCTTTCTCCTATGGGTCAGAAATCCATGGAGTCCGCCTTCCCTTTTCTTCTAGGGGCTGTCACCTTGATGTCCCCTTAAGGTTTTTTTGTTTTTGTTTTTTTAATGTCACTGACCCTCTTAAACAGCTGCTTTCTATTTATAATCGTGGTTTTTGACCTAAAGCAACGGGATACAGGAATCAGTAAGCTGTTTCCTTTGTGTACTGATTGGTGATTCAAATGCGGCCAAAAATCAGCAGGAATGTGTTCTTTTCAATGTATCAGAAATAAAAACCACAAAGTGAAACTTCAGGAGTCCTTTTAGGTAAGGAAGCTCTTCAGTTCTTCCTTTTGTGTATTGAGTAAAAGGTGAAAAAAAGAATCTTACAGATTTTAATATATTTAAAATCAAGAGTATGTCTAGGCTGGGTGCCTTTGTTTTGATTTTCTTTTTTTAACAAATTAGAATTGTGACTTTGTTTTTCTACATATTTACTTATTTATTTTTCTGTTTATCCTTGAAGACCTTAACTGAGACAGGCTATGAGAAATATAACGAGGTAACGCACTTTGCAAACGCATGCTGTGACTGCTGAGCATAGAGGGGTGAACTCGAGCAGCACTCAGCTGTTTGCCAGCCCTGGAGACGACAGCTTTCCATCCAAGTGCTGGCAAACAGGCTTCCCTGTTCATCACTTTGGATAAAGTCACTTGCTTGCCTTTGACAAGGGTTAACTGGTGACCTCTGACCTCTGCTAGGCAGTGTTTATTTAGTCAGCAATCACTCGTTCAGCCGTCACTGTGTCACACATGGTGCAGATCCTGGGGACACAAAGATGACTAAACATGTCCTTGCCCTTCAGTGGCTCACAATCTGATGAACTCAGTTGCCAAAAGAGTTCAAAATCCACTGGCCAGACATTTGTCTGCGCCTCTGAAATGTTCCCAGGCTCTCGCCCGTGCCAGAGCTGAGGCCGCAGAGGCAGCCCCTGAGTGGCGCTGAGCCCGGGCCTGCCGGGCTGGTGCCCGTGCTCACAGACTGCTGTGGCGTGTGTGAGAATTTAACTGCTGGTTAATCGTGTGATTAATTGCCTGTCATTTGCCATGTTGTGAGTTCCCTGTAATATGCATGGGTTGATTCAGCTGAATTCTTAGTAGCTTAGTTCGGTTTTCATTTCTGCAAAGTGAGCTTTTTTTTAACCTCCAGACTATCTAACTTTTGTGTAAGGAAGGTCATTTCTTTCAGCGAAGCCACTGGAAGTGAGTCTCTGTGGGTGGCAGCTGAAAGGTCTCGTTTCCAGTGCCAAAGCTGGGGAGTGGTTTTAAGTGTGTCCTCTCTACTGTGTGTGCAAAGTCCCTCACAGATGAAAGTCCCTGGGTCCGCTCTGCCAGAGGCTCTGGTTTCCGGGGG